GCTCAGCTATGAGCTATGAGGAAAGATTAGAGGAGCTGAATTTATTCTCTCTTGAGAAGAGGAGATTAAGGGGGAGTATGATCACCATGTATAAATACATCAGTGATTCATATAGTGAACTCGGTGTAGAGTTATTCACCCTGAGGTCATCACAGAGGACAAGGGGGCACTCTTTACGTCTGGAGGAAAACAAATTTAATCTCTAAACACAGAAAGGTTTCTTCACTGTAAGAGCTGTGAAAATGTGGAATAGACTCCCTCAAGAGTTGGTTCTGGCCAGCTCATTGGATTGCTTTAAAAAAGGCCTGGAATCTTTCTTGGATACACAGAATATAACTGGCTACTATTTATAGGTAAATTTGATCCAGGGAATATCTGATTGCCTCTCAGGGTATCAGGAAGGAATTTTTTCCACTGCAGGAGCAAATTGCATCATGCTTTGCTGGGTTTTTTGTCTTTCTCTGGATCAACTGTGGGTATAGGATCATAACTTTTTTTTTTTTGGTTGAACTGGATGGACTTTTGTCTTTTTTCAGCCAGACTAACTATGTAACACACACACACACACACACACACACACACATATAGATACACACACTATACTGCCAAAAGTATTGGGACTCCCCTCCAAATCATTTGATTCAGGTGTTCCAATCACCTCCATGCCCACAGGTTTATAAAATCAAGCACCTGAACATGCATACTGCTTCTGCAAACATTTGTGAAAGTATGAGTCGCTCTCAGCAGCTCAGTGAATTCAAGCGTCCATCCATGGAATTTCCTTGCTACTAAATATTCCACAGTCAACTGTTAGTGGTAATATAACAAAGTGGGAACAACAGCAACTCAGCCATGAAGTGGTAGGCCACGTAAAATGTCAGAGTGGAGTCAATGCATGCTGAAGCGCACAGTGCACAAAAGTCGCCTACTGTCTGCAGAGTCAATAGCTAAAGACCTCCAAACTTTGTTTGGCCTTCAGATTAGCACAACTGCGTAGAGACTTCATGGAATGGGTTTCCATGGCCGAACAGCTGCATCCAAGCCTTATATCACCAAGTGCAATGCATTGGTGTCGGAAGCAGTGGTGTAAAGCATGCTGCCACTGGACTGTAGAGCAGTGGAGATGTGTTCTCTGGAGTGATGAATCATGCTTCTCTGTCTGGCAATCCGATGGACATGTCTGGGTTTGGCAGCTGCCAGGAGAACGGTACTTGCCTGACTGCATTGTGCCATGTGTAAAGTTTGGTGGAGGGGGATTATGGTGTGGGGTTGTTTTTCAGGGGTTGGGCTTGGCCCCTTAGTTCCAGTGAAGGGAACTCTTAAGGTGTCATCATACCAAGACATTTTGAGCAATTTCATGGTCCCAACTTTGTGGGAACAGTTTGGGGATGGCCCCTTCCTGTTCCAACATGACTGCACCCCAGTGCACAAAGCAAGGACCATAAAAACATGGATGAGCGAGTCCTGCCCTCAACTCGATACAACACTTTTGAGATGAATTAGAGCAGAGACTGCGAGCCAGGTCTTCTCCTCCATCAGTGCCTAACCTCACAAATGCACTTCTGGAAGAATGGTCAAGCATTCCCATGGACACAAACCTAAACCTCGTGGACAGCCTTACACACACACACACACACACACACACACACACACACACACACACACACACACGTATACCTCAGTTTATGAATGCCTCAGTTAAGATAATTTTTGGTTTACGAATGAAAATCCATTGAATATAATGCCTCGGTTTACAAATTTTTTATGAATTTTTTGCAGTGTATGTCACTGCCGATTTTTAAATGCAATTGCCGGCTTTTTTTTTTGTTCTTCACTATAGCTCACAGAATTAGCTGTCACTTTCCCTGGAGCTAAAGGATACTTTGTTTCTTTTATCTCGGGAAACAAACTAAAAGGAAAACATTGTTGCTTTTCACTCTGAGAATTAAACTAAAAGGAAACTTTCTTTCATTTAGCTGGGGGGAAATTGACAGCTGATTCTGTGAGCTATAGTGAAAAAAAAAAAAAAAAAGCCGGTTATTTTAATTTAAAAACCGGCACTGACCTATAGTGACAGCTACTTTTTTATTTTACTATTTTTTTACCTACGGAACGGATTAATTGGTCTTCTGGGACACGTGACAGGTCCCAGAAGACTATGGGACCATTCACAAAGTGCAATGCTACTTGCGCATGCACAGTGAATCGCAAGTTTTCACAGGCTGGTGCCCACACTGAAGATGCCGCAGCTGGAAACACAGGGCGGCCAGTGAAACGGACTGTGGGGGGGCCATCGAGGGACAGGTAAGTGTCCATTTTTTAAAAGTCAGCAGCTACAGTTTTTGAAGCTTCTGATTTATTTATTTTTTTTCTCTGGAACTACACTTTAACCTTTAACCCAGCATCCATGATACAACAGGATTGTTCCCTGTTCTTATCATCCATGAGTTTCTCTAATGTTGTGGAAGGGCCATGTAATTTGTGAAAGTTTAAAGTTCCAGGTTTGCATTAAACGTTACGTAGACCTCATCAATGAACTTCTCACTTTCATCTTTAAATATAACATTTTATATAAGCATTTTATTATATTGCTAAATGCAAAAAAATACTATACCTGTTGATCCTGCCAGAAATCCAGTGCTGTGCCCTGCACACTGACTCGTTATCGTCAGCCGTGTTAAATTCCCGCCCAGGTCATTCTGTAAACTGAGGAACACCTCCACTATATTTTGATGGTGAAGAGGAGAGGGGAGGGGTCCTGTAGTCCTATCCTAGGGTGACAATGCTGCTCCGCCAAAGATACAATACAGTGAATGAGCATCGTAACCCTAGGATAGGGAGTGTGTTAATGGTGAAGGGGGGGGGGTGCACCAGGTTAAAATAAAGGAAAAACATAAAGCCATCACATGTAAGGACAGGTAAGCTGCAATATTACATTTTTATTTATGGGTTTAGATATCCTTTAAGGAAAACTCCTTCTGATTGGAACATGGAGACGTCCCATGCTGACTTGTTCTACAAATGCTAGTAACCTGGCTGTCATCCAAAGTGAACCATTTTCAGTTTTAAAAATTGGATTTTTTTCTACATATTTACCTGTAAAATCCATTTCTTGGAGTACATCATGGGACACAGAGCAGGCCATAATAATGACTATGTGGGTTATTTGCCACCTATAAGTGAATGGACACTGGCTGACCAATCAAACAGGAAGTCCTCCCCCATATAACCCCTCCTACACAGGAAGTATCTAAGTTTTTTGTAGCAAGCAATGAAAATCCAGAAAGAGGCGAGAAACCTCTATGTCCCATGATGTACTCCAAGAAATGGATTTTACAGGTAAGTATGAAGAAAAAAAAAACTATTTTCTTTATCGTATATCACGGGCCACAGAGCAGGACATTCTATGACTATGTGGGAAATTCCAAACCAATAACCTTGAAAAAAGGAACTATTCAGCTGTACGTAAAACACTGCGGCCAAAGGCAGAAATCTCTGTGGTTCCGACATCCACCTTGCAAACCTGAGCAACTGATGCCTGATGGCAGATAGCCCATGATGCCCCCACATTCCTGGTAGAGTGTGCTTTCAGCCAAAAGGATGGAACCTTGCTCTTCAAACCATAGGCTTGAATGATTAACTGAGGAATCCACTTAGAAAGAGTTGATTTGGATGCTGCCTGTCCTCAGCTGGGACCATTTGGGAAAATAAACAAGGAATCAGTCTTTCTAATCTGCCCTGTCATTCTCAAAAAGACCCTTATTGCCCGAACTACATCCAGGGCATGCAAAGATCTTTCTTTTGCCGACTGAGGCCTAGGAAAGAATGAAGGCAGAACAATGTCCTGGTTGAGATGAAAACTAGAAACCACCTTTGGCAAAAAGGACGGATGAGGCCGTAACACCATCTTATCCTGGTGTAAAATCAAAAATGGTTCCATACAAGAAACAGCTGTCAACACAGATGCCCTTCTTGCAGAGGTGATTTCAAATGGTAGTTTCTGTAAAACTGCCAAGACCAAGTTCAAGCCTCGAGGACACAGCGGCTGTCTGACAGGAGGAACATACACATCATTCCCTGTAAAAAAGTACAAACCAAAGAGTGAGAAGCAACTGGTCTTGGGAAAGGAAACAGCCAAGGCTAAGACCTGACTCTTAATAGTATCAACAGCCAATTTATTTTCTTCTCCTGATTGGAGAAAAGACAAAATTCCGCCAATCAAATATTTCTGGGGGTGCCAATTTCGACCCTCAAACCAAGAGATACAACCGCTGGCAAAAAGTATGGCGTCACCACTCTTGGAAAATATTCAATTGTGTAGAAAGAAAAAACAAAAAAAAAAAATCACAGACATGCTTCAAACTATATCCAATTAATATTCCAACCTTTTGGCTTTAAGAAACACTTAAAAAATAAAAAAGAAAGAAAACTGTAGTCAATTGCAACTGTTTTTGCAGATCAAGCAGAGGAAAAAATATGGAATCCCTCAATTCTGAGGAAAATATTATGTAATCACCATGTACTTTACAGTTCAAAAATAAACATCTGCATCAGATTACATCTGCTAATTAGTCTGCAGTTAAAAAAGAGTGCTTGTACACCTTGGTGAGCTGTTGCACCAAACTGATTGACATGAATCATGGCCCCAACTGGAGAGATGTCAGTTGAAACAAAGGAGAGCATTATAAAACTTCTTCAAGACGGTAAATCATCACACAATGTTGCAAAAGATGTTGGTTGTTCACAGTCAGCTGTGCCTAAAATCTGGACCAAGTACAAATCAAATGGGAAGCTTGTAAAAGGGAAGTGTACCGGTAGACCAAGTAAGACATCAAAGCATCACAATAGAAAACTTAAAGCAATATGCCTTGAAAACAGAAAATGCACAATAAAACAAAGGAGGAACAATTGGCTAGAAACTGGAGTCAATGTCTGTGACCAAACTGTAAGACATCGCCTAAAGGGAATGGGATTTACATACAGAAACGCCAAACCACAACCATCATTAACACCTGAAGAGAAAAAAACAAGGTTACAGTGGTCTAAAGAAAAGCAATCATGGACTGTGGATGACTGGATGAATGTAATATTCAGTGATGAATCACGAATCTGCATTGGGCAGGGTGATGATGCTATAACTTTTGTTTGGTGCTGTTCCAATGAAATGTATAAAGACGACTGCCTGAAGAAAACATGCAAAGTTTCACAATCATTGATGATAGGGGTTGCATGTCAGGTAAAGGTACGGAGGAGATGACAGTCATTAAATCTTCAATAAATGTACAAGTTTATGTTGAGATTGTGGACACTTTTCCATCATTTGAAAGGATATTTGGTGATGATGACATAATTTTTCAGGTTGATAATGCATCTTGCCATAGGGCAAAGGCCATGAAAACTTTCCTTCAAGAAAGACATATAATGTCAATGGTCCGGACCTCAATCCAATTGAAAATCTAAGGTGGAAATTAAAGAAGATGAACCATGACAAGGCTCCAACCTGCAAAGCTGATCTGGCAACTGCAATGAGAGAAAGTTGGAACTGGTTTGATGAAGAATACGGTTTGTTGATAGTTAAATGCATGCCTCAGAGAATTCAAGCTGTTATAAAAGCCAAAGGTGGTGCAACAAAGTACTAGTGGTGTACTGTAGTGTTTTTTTTTTATGCTTCCATATTTTCCTCAGAATTGAGGGATTCCATATTTTTTTCTTTTACTTGATCTGCAAAAACAGTTGCAACTGACTACAGTTTTCTTTCTTTTTTCTATGTGTTTCTTAAAGTCAGAAGGTTGGAATGCTAAATGAAAATAGTTTTGAGGCATGTCTGTGATTAGTTTTTGTTCTACACAATTAAACAATTGAATGAACATTTTACAAGAATGTTGATTCCATACTTTTTGCCAGGGGTTGTATATGCCTTCCAAGTTCTATAATAAATGTTCCTAGAAACCAGCTTCCGATCGTTCAACATTGTGTGGATAACGGAGTCTGACACTCCCCTATCTTTCAAGATTTGGGTCTCAACAGCCATGCCGTCAAATTCAATGACCATAAAGCTGGGTGCAATATAGGTCCCTCAGACAGCAGTTCTGACTGAACTGGCAGAGGCCATGGACCGCCCAATGCTATCCTGACAATGTCCGTGTACCAACACCTCCTGGCCAAGGCTGGTGCTACCAATATCACCGGAATCATCTTGTCTTCAATCCTGCATAAATTGGGGGAAAAGCATACCGATCCCATGGAACCACCAAGGCATCTAACCCTATTGCATCTACCCATGTCCAGGACACAAAGTCCACCTTGCTATTGAACCTGGATGCCAATAGATCTACGTCCGGGTACCCCCAACGCTGGCCGATTGCCGAGAACACCTCAGGATGCAGAGCCCATTCCCCCAGATACAACCGCCGACAACAGAGGTAGTCTGCCTGCCAATTCTCTATCCCTGGAATGAATACTGCTGACATAACCGGAACATGCCCTTCTGCGCAAGTCAGAATGTGATCTACCTTCTCCTGAGCCCTCTGGCTTTTGGTACCACCTTTGTTGATGTGTGCGACTGCCGTAGCATTATCAGACTGGACCCTACTGACCAACCATGAAGCCTGGTTGTCCAATATCTCAGGGCAAACCACACCACCTGAAGCTCTAGGATATTGATGGTAGGATCTTTTCCTGCAGCGACCACTGGGCTGTGGTCCCTTCTAGATCAGCCCCCCAACCCGGGAGGCTGGCATCGGTTACCAGCTTCAAAATCACTGGTGGGAAAGATCTTCCATTATCCAAATTGTGAGCTTCCAACCACCAGTTCAAGCTTTGCAGCACCTGGGGGGACAAAGACATGGTAATCCAGCGCTGGAATCTTTTTGCTCTATGCCGATAAAATATTCTTCTGCAAAGGTCTTGAATGGAACTGTGCATAGGGCACTGCCTCGATGGAGGATACCATCTTTCCCATTAACCTCATGCAGAGACGAATAGAAGGACACTTCCTGCTCCTCAAACTCCGAACCTGATCTCTCAGGGCGTGGCTCTTTTCTGGAGGCAGAAACATCCTTGTCTGGACAGTGTCTAGGACCAACTTGAAATATTCCAGACTCTGTACTGGCTCCAGGGCCCATTTTGCGAAGTTGAGCACCCAGCACAAGTGTTCCAGAGTATGAATCGCAAGGGCCCTTTTTTCTCAGGTTTGGACCAGACTGACCCCTGAGCAGTAGATCGTCCAGATAGCCTAAAATCTATATTCCCCAATTTCTGAGCAGTCCCAGCACTGGAGCCAGCGAGGAGCTGTGGCTAGCCCAAAAGGTAGTGCCACGAACTGAAAATGTTCAATTTCTATCACAAACCGCAGAAATCTTTGATGAGATGGAAATATTGGCACATGCAGGTGTGTGTCCTTTATGTCTATGGATGCTAGAAAATCTCCATCTGGTAAAGACTACTGACCGAACTGACTCCATCTGAAATGAATGAATATTTAGGAACCAGTTCAGCCCCTTTAAGTCTAGAATAACTGTGAATAGATTTGAATAAAATCCCTGGAACCTTTAGTCTGCTGGAATCCCCACAATCACATCCTGGGACAACAGCCGATCGAGTGCCTGAAACAAAGAATTTCTTCTCAATGGATTCATGGATACATTGGATCTTAAGAAATGGGGAGGAGGAATTCCCCCAAACTTCAGTTTGTACCCCTTACCAACTGTAGCAGTGACCCACTTGTCCTGGATCAGCTCTTCCCAGGTTTCCACAAAAACCCAAAGTCTTCCCCCCACCCGCATGAGTGGAGGCAGCCCTTCATAATGAAGCGGTCTTAGAATCTGACCTGGAGGGCTTCTGCATCCAGGATTTCTTCTGCCCCTGAAATTTTCCCTTATATGCAGAACCCTGTGTATGGTGAAATGCTTGTCTACCAGAAGAAGCACCAACCACCGAAGAGTCTGGCCTCTTAAAGGTCGGGTGTTTCTCTTAAAATGTTAAAGCACACATCCCCCCTTCCTGAGATATTCTGGGTATACTTGTCTAGGTTCTCCCTAAACATTCTCCATGAAAGGGAAAGCCTGCCAATGATCTTTTTCAAGGTAGTTCCACTGCCCAACTCTTTAACCATAAGATCCTGTGCATGTCTACCAACAGAAGAGCCATGCAATAGATCTACTGAATCAAATCCTTACGGGCATCAACTGCAGAACACAAGACCTGTGGTAAACCTGCCAAATCCACAGCCGTATCCTCCTCCAGAATAATGATCTTTTAACCACCCATTTAACATAGTAGCAACCGCTGGTTGTATGGCAGCCCACCAGGGAAAAGGAAGCCTTGAGGAGAGATTTTAATTTCTTATCTGCCAGATCCTTAAACACCTAGGGATTATCCACAGGACAAGTTAAAGGCTTATTCAGGGAAGCCACAGCTGTGTCTACCCCTGGCATGCCCCACCTTCTAAGAAACTTCTCCTCCAAATACAAAATACTGAAGGGAGGACCTTTTAGACAGAACAAAAATTATGTCTGGGTGCTCCCAGTCAGCATACATAACTTTCTTCAAAAGAGGATGCACCGGAAATGCCTTAATACTTTGCAGTGGCTTTAATGAGCCCAAAGTGGAATAAGAGACCTCAAATGCCTCTACTGGGGGTAACTTGAAACCTGACCGGACCATATCAGTGAGGGTCTTAACCAATAATCTTTGTGATTGAGAAGCAGAAACCCCCTGCTTCTCCTCAAGCTGTGACTCCTCTGACAGAGAATCAATCGCCTGACCCTCTACAACAGCTGGTGGGTCCAAAGATGGTGATCTACCCCCGAGCCACCAATGCAACTATTCCAGCAATATTGTCTTCTAACCCTGCTAAGGCTGATGCTAGATACTCCTTAGTTACGGACACCAAAGCAGACACACTGGTAGTAGCAAGAATGATGGATAAACTCAGTGGCTCAGATTGATCTGTTGCCCCTAGTCTTTCTGGAGAAGTTAACACAGTGGAACTTGGACTAGGTTCAACAGGACCTGGCAGTGGTACATTTGCACTCTTTCCTGCTGTGCCTCCCCCACACTGCTTTCTGGATGACATTACCTCCACTAGCGTTACAAGAACGGTGTAAGGATTTAATCAAAACACTGAATATATAATAGATCTGCTTAAAAGTGAAGCAATACACCCCAATGTTGTCCACTGAAAAAAAGGGGGTAGCTACACAACCCTCCTGCCTGGCCGACCCTCCCAGGGGAGTACTCACGCACCCTTTAGAATATCCTGCCCTGTGTCCTGGCTATCCATCCAGGGTCCGGCAGCAGTAACAGCAGAGGTAGCAGAGGCTGCAGCAGCTCACGTGTAACAGGCAGTGTCCTATGTAAACAATATGGCAGTGTCAGGGAATGAGAAGATCACCGTGGCGCACGAATCTGCAAATGCGTAGGATCCGACAAGACACACAGGCAGGCGGGCACTAGGACCCCGGCACGCCTGTCACCAATGACAGCGCTGGGCAGGCACTAGGACCCAGGCGCGCCTGTCGGTGCCAGGCTGGCTATTTAAACCAGCTCTTGCAATGCTCACATTGGCGTATGGTTTTGTTCCTGCTTGTTCCGTTCCTGAGATTGCCTTGTTGCCGACCTAGCCTGATCCTGATTGCCGTTGACCGTCTCCTGCCCTGACCCCTGGCTCGTCTTGACTTTTCTGCCTGTTCCTGATGATCTGACCTCCTGCTGCTGAACCTGGCCTGTGACCCGATTACTCTTTGCTTAATGCTCTGTACCGTTTGCCTCCACTGTTACTGACCCAGCCTGCCTGACTTCGCTATCTCTCCACGGTGTCATACGTCCATCCATCCTGCACGAATACACCCACTGCTGCCAAATCTGCTCCGCCTCTTCACAGCAGGCTCTGATCTGCTTCAAACCACTGGCATTTACCTCTACCACAGCTGAGGGTACTCAGGGGCCGTGACCTGCTCTCAGCCTGCTCCAAGTCCATCCCCACCATCAGGGGCTCTGGTGAATAAGCAGACTGGGGCTTAGACTCTGCGCTCTGGGGAACCCCGGCTTGTGGCTAGAGTCACTGCCAGTCGGTACCTGACAGGCAGACTTCCTCTTCCTGCTGCTACTGCGCGTGTGTCACCGCCGCGTGTTATGCTCGTACACCCACGCGGTAACAGACTCCCTAAAGTGACCGAAATTAGGTATCACAGGCAAGAAAAGAAGTACTCCCCCTGGAGGTCTTCCCAGTCCTCCATAGCAGACTCCTCTGCATTTACAAACACACACACACACACACACACACACACACATATATATATATACATACAGTGAGGGAAATAATTATTTGATCCACTGCTGATTTTGAATGTTTGCCCACA